ATCGATTAAATGGTCGCCTAACTGTCTTTCTAGTTGTTCCTGAAATATATTCTTCGCCTTATTATCATTAAGTAAAACCCTAAGAGGCTTTCTTACGGTGTCTTTCCTACGCCCAGTAAGCTTCAAACAAATACGCGCTCGCACTAGGGCATGATCTGAATCCACACATGTGCCCCAGAACGAGCGAAAGTCTTCTATCGAACCCCTCCATCGGTGGCTGATGGCCATGTGATCTAGTTGCGTCCAACGTTGAGACGACTTTGGAGGTCGCCAGGTCAAAAGATGCTTTTCCTTATGCCTACAGTTAGTGTTTGCTAAGAATAGGCGGTTGTCTGAGCATACTTGCAACAGACGGAGACTTCGAGAACTACGAAGGCTACCATCCAAAGATGCAGGTGTTCATTAACAGTTGTCTACACATAATACTTCGGATCCGTTTTCCAGACATTGTCAGCATCAGTCTACTGTGGGGAGAACAAACCAGATACCAGCTGAGGAAGAAATTAGGAACAAGCGCTGAAGGTGGATGGCACACATATCGGAAAGCACCCAACTAAGTCACAAGGCAAGCCCTCACTTGGGTCTCTCATGTTCGAAAGAAACAGACATGTGGAAAATGACAAAAAAGGACAGAACTTTAAAGGAAGGCCCAGGACATTGTAGGTTGGAGAATGCTGGTCGGCGGCTTATGCTTCATCGGGTGTAACAGGCGAAAGTAAGTTTTCAAAAAATCAAGTCAAATTATTATATTGAAATTATCAAGTGGAGTTACCTTAACATCTCTAAATCCTGGTATCCGTTTACACAATAATGGTTTAATGTGTTCATGGAAAAATTCATGATTCGCCGAACTCTGATAATATAAAAATAAACAGATGCATAGAAAATAGATTAACTGGCAACTCAAACAGTATGATAAAATTTATGAGATATTTTTAGTGAGACAGATGTGGTTTATTCTATTACATCATTAAATTTATATTTCCCAATTAAGCATTGAGTTACACATTGTGTGTGTGTGTGTGTGTGTGAGGGAGAGAGAGATAGTGAGATCCAGTGATACAGTCTAGGTGATTAAACTAAATTAGGTGTAGCAAGGCTCAAAATTTTGATTTAATCCTTTAACTATTAAGCCCGAATTGCATTTTATTTTGCGTGTTTTTCTTAGAGAAAGATTTTTTTGAATTGATTTGAGTATATTAACAACAAGAACATAGATGAATTCTTTTTTATTGTGTAGTCAGTTTAGACATTTGATGGAAATCATTTAGAAACCCTAGACATAGATTTCGTGCTAGCTGATATTCGTCAGCAAAGTGTACTTGCAATATCGTGACCTCAACAGATTAGCAGCAATGTTTATGACTGTGATTCCTTAAGTAGCATAGATTTTCCCCAAAATTGCATGCAGATTTTTATGACGAGTAATGAATAATAAGAAACATAGGTCTAAGGCTTTTTGTCGATTACTTTCAGCGATCTAACAGTGCTATTGTTTGTAGTGGCTTGTTTCTAATCTAATCTAGTTAGCTGCACATAATTAAGTAGGTCAAAATTGTAAAAATGGTGAAGAAAAATACATAACTTACTTGTTGATTACGATTATCATTAAAAGAGTCAAATTTAGGATTATCAGAATAAACAATAAATTCACCGGAAAGATCACGACGTTCAATAAATAAACGATTATGATCTATCATAAATGGCATATCTAAACCAGGCAACGGATGATGATTTTCTATGTGACTAAGTGTATTTATAGGTTGTACAACGAAAATTTGACGATATCTAGATCAGAAGAAAAAAAAAACTCATGAGTATAACAATGGAAATTTTAATGACAAACAACACAGAACCTGCCTTAAGGTCAAGGAACAAAACTATTATCGAGCCTTGGGAAAGTGTATTTATGTTTGCGCTTTATGAGGCATGAAATGATATTGATGTGTTCAAAAATATAGGATAAAACAGCTATTCATAATAGGCCAATGAAATAAATCACTATTGAATCTTTCCTATGATAAAGTTAAACTTTTTGTACTAAATTTTAAGATTAATAAGTCTTGGAACTTGGAAATTTTGATCGTTTATTTAAAATATAAATCCTATATGACACTCTATTCAAATGAACATAAAGAAAAAAACGAGAACAGAAAATAATATAGAAAACCATGTATATATAAAAGTAAGCTATTCACAAATCACCTCGGCTCAACCGGTAACCGTAATGGAATATTTTCACTGCCAATTTCAGCCAATTCAGCCACATGTGCTGCCCATGGACCTGCTGCATTTACTACTGAATGAAAATTAACAGAAATCCTCGTTTGGTTAGGAAGAGAAATCTGAACAAATTGAAAACAAACAAATGAAGGTAAGTGGGTTAGTCAAAAGGATACATATTTTATCAGGTAGGAAAATAATATTTTGTGTAAATACAAGTTTGAATCTTCTGGATTGATTGACTGAAAATATTTTAATGGCTTCAATACATTTCTGTAAGAGATATGTCACCAATTAAAACCACATAAAGTTGGATGGACAAATATAAGCTCTACTGTATCATCACGGCTGTACCTGAAAAATAGTAAGAAATCTGTAAGTCCTTTCAGATTAAAAATATCGTGACTGAGTAATGCGTACTAGCGAAAATCGCAAAGCCTCCCAGAACATCAAAATAAACATGATCAAGTTATTGAAGATAAAAGCAACTATGGGGGACGAGTTCTGCGGGTCAACCAACGGCTAATAAAGTTTGGACTTGGAGATCGAGCTTATTTTTTGCTTACTGTATTAATAAAAATTTGTTAGCCGAACTCGATAGAGTTCTATGATCTATGATCACACAAGATTATCTACTAGACATACCTGTCATACTTCGTTAAGTCAAATATAAGACCCGGAACTCACTGAAAAAGTTTACGTTTACACACTCCCTTCTGAAATCATAGTCTTGGTTTGAAGAATTAGTGATACTACCTAATTGCTAATACAGTTGGAGTAGAGTTAGAACGAGTAACTCAATGCTTGAGGGTCAACTGACTAAGTCTCTCTCTCTCTCTCCCTTTGTATGGTGTAGGTATGGATATGAAAAGTACTAGGATTTTTGCTGAAAAATAAAGGACAAGCTTAAAACAGATAGCTTACTATGGCAGAACGTAAAGGTTTGCATAGTATTTGGGGTCTTTGTGGCCTTTCAGTAATGAAAGTTGGCATCATATATGGACTAGCATGGAAATCAATCACTTCTCCAACAACATAATTTACTCCCAAGAAATGAGATTTGATTTTCAATGCCTTCAGTAAGAGAAAAGGATCAAACCATCCCTCGTTCTCATAACCTAGATGAAAAGATAGATATTCTATTTGTTTCAAAATACGAAGTTAATGAAGAGGATACATTTTGACATGAATTGCATTTGACTTTAAATACATGTTTGAATATTACTGTTGATCTCGTAACAATGAAATGAAGTATAGCAATGAAAGAACTACCGTCAAACTATTCAGCTCATAGAAAGCAACAACACGAGACATGCTGAGAACACTGGGATAAAAAGTTTCTTTCCTCTTATTAGACTTATCATAACCATAAAAATTAAGTTCAATTGATATTTTGGTAATCTTTTTTTTTTAGCATAGATCATGGGGAGGGAGAGTAACTTAAAAGCGACTAACGTTTGGTTACTGATATGGGAAAAGGCGAGTGACGGTAATATTTGAACTGAAAAATAACTTTGAATACCATAGTGGATAATAATTCTAGTAATCCTCTCTGTACCTCTTAATTCCATGAACAACTCTTTTCATTCCTGTGCCACCTCGTGCCGATGATGCAAACGTTTTGAGTTCACAAAACGTTATTCCTAGTCTCCTGAAAACCCGGTCTAAACTAAGTGTTGGAGCTTTTATTGTTTGAACCTTGTGTTAGATAGGGTAACAGGCTTCCTTAGCTAGGACTGGAATCTCGTGCCTTCGATGTACGTCGCGTATCTGAAAAGCGCATACAGGATCCGAGTAGAATCATTAATTTGATTTCACCTTGTCCAGATAAAGAGCCAACTCGGTTTACGCTTCGTTTTTCTGGGAGTCCTGATGCTGCTTTCAGTGGCCTCGATGGTGTAGGTATAGCATTGAGTCCTAGGGTAGAACTAGCTCTCTTAGAATGGATCCAAGTAGATAAATGCTCAGGAGCTGTCGGACTAAACGAGACAGTAAGGACTCATAAAGATAGGGAAACTCTCCGTCGCCTCTTTGTGGTCTCTGCCTACGCTCCCACTGACTCCGGTTCAGACGAGATAAAAGATGAGTTCTACAAAAACCTTCCTAACGTTCTTAAAAAGGCTAAGCACTGTGATATGGGAATAATGACCGGTGACCTCAATGCATAAAGCGATAAGGAAAGACACCTGGGTGAATCTTAGTGTCGTGGCGCGTAAGGAAAAACACCTTTTGACGTGGCGACCCGCAAAGCCGATACAATGATGAACCCAACTAGACCACATTACTATCAGCCATCGGTGGGGAGGTTCCAGTGCAGGATTCCGTTCATTATGGAGCACTTGTTTAGATTCAGATCATGCTTAAGTGCGAGCACATATTTGTTTGAGGTTTACAGGACGTAGGAAGGACACCACAAAGAAACTTCTTACGGTTCTACTTAGTGAGAGAGTAGCTGATGGATGCTCAAAAGCTCATCCTACCTGGCTCTGAGTGCGATGAGGTGCGGAGTCAGCTTAAGCACACGATGATTGCGAACAGTGGTGGGTAATGAAAGCGAGAGAGACAGAAAAGGCAGCGGCGATAGGCAACTATTCAGACTTATCAACGAAACCGGTATAAGGAATCCGATTGTAAGTGACACTATATCAGAAAAGGATGGGTGAGAGGACAAACCAGATACCAGCTGAGGAATAAATTAGGAAAAAGCGCTGAAGGTGGGTGGCACGCATATCGGAAAGCACCCAACCACGTCACAAGGCAATCCCTCACTTGGAATCCTCAAGAAAAGAGGAAAACAAACGTACAAATTACGCCAAAAGCCGGTAGCAGACATGAAAACAATGAACGGCAGTTATATTGAAATGAAAAAGTAAGTACATGACAGAATAGGTTGAAGAGTGCTGTTGGGCGGCCTATGCTTTACTAGGAGTAACAAACATAAGTAAGTAACTATATTGGTCAATTCACTAGGTGCTCACAGTCATTTCATTGAAAGATATTAGAGCAGAGTGGTGGCAAGGAAATTTGTGAAACATTGGATTGCTGACTTCGTAGTTCCAACATATATCGCCACGAAGAGAAGTTCACAGTTCGTAAGTCGTCTGTTTCAGAAGCTAACAGTTGTTAGGTAGCAAGCGAATATGAACTAGAACTTACCACACTGAGACAAATGGAGTGAAAAAGAGGTTTTACAGACAACTTAAAGCATCTTTATCAGCAACTTGAGATTATAAATCGAATATCATGCTCCTTTCAGTATTATAAGCCATCTGCATAATATTCAAGCAGAACATTGGTTGCTAGGCTGCTGAGTTAATTTATGGAACGTGTTTGCCATGTGAATTCCGTGATTGCGTGAAAGCCACTTCCTCAGATATGACCGACTATGTACAGCAGTTGAAGCGACAGATAGATTTAATTAAAAAAAAGTTACCTCACAAGCTGAGAAAACAGTCTTAGGTGCTGGAGAAGTTAGACGACTATGTACACACGAATACATTAGATACAGTACGACAGATATTTCAATCTCATCATGATGACCCTTCTAAAATTTACGTCGAGATTCAATTTGAATAGATAGATAACACAGTTCTGTTTGGTCAAGATGCTAACAAAAATTCAGTCTTCTGATTACCTGAGGCAACGATTCAAGCATGTTCGGAATGAGATTCTCTCACTTGAGATGCAAAATCTTGCTTTAGGATTGGCTTGCATCGGCACCTGAATAAGTGATAGGGAGTAAAGTAGTTGGGCAAGTCAACTGCTTCATTTATCGTGAGGGTCTCACTAGTCCTGACGGTCTGGTATTTGAAGAAGTCGTGGCATGGATACAGAAGGTTCAATTGGCTTTTGTCAACTTAGGTCACTTGTAGCATAAACTGGATACTAATCTGCCAACCGAAGGGCAAGTTTACTGTGAAATAATTCGCTCTGTTCTACTTTATGGGAGTCAAGCATGGCCATTAAGAATGAAAGATAATCATAGGTTACTAGTATTCAAACATAGGTGTCTTCAAACCACTGCTAGTGTATTTTGGAATTGCCGAGTAAACAGTGCCCGGATTAGGAACTAAATACTCGGTGACGATGGCAAACGGGTTGGTGAGATGTTGAACCTGAATCAGCTGAGGTGGTTTAGACATATGTTACGAATGCCCGAATAATAAATAAAGTTAGAGGCGGTCAAATCAAAACACAGCATCAGTCCATTAAGTCATTAACAATTAGACTGAGAAATTTTCACTAGTTTAGACTACCTGGTTGGGGTCCACGTGATAATGGCAATCCGTGGTTAGAGACTTTGAATGGCATGACTGAAAATTATTTGCGATGGCGCAGGTGCATGCATTCTTTATCCTTCCCTAAATTCTAAGCTTCTGCATTCCTCATAAATTTTTATTTATTTATTTCACCGACTTAGATTCTACTGAACTGTGTCTCCGCTCCCCCCACCACATGACACTCATACTAACTTAACTACTCTGTGATTTGGCTTGACAAATTCGTTTCTATGCCAGACGGGTACGGCAATTTGACCGATGTACGTAGGTACCAAGTTCTACGTCCTAATTGACTGAATGAAATGTTCAGGAGAAATAGTAATATATACTAACCATAGCAACCCATTTCAATATCTTCAACGTTCATCCACGGCCAACGTGCAGACAGAGCGTCTTTGGTTAGCAGTTCAACTTTTGCTCCGAGATCACTATAACAAACAGTAATTAGTAGGAGAACAATGAGCGGTAAAAACGTACAGCTGTAACAAATAATTCTCTTTCAACAAGTCCAGATTCTGAGTATTTGCCAGGACTAAACATCCTTGCGGATTAAAACCAATATCTATGTTTTCTACCGAATCTGAACTGAACAATTTAATATATTATTCGGCTCAAACCGTCCACTGATAGATATCTGGTGACATTTCTTAAGAAATTAATTGAGAACAATGACATTTGTATGTTTTCTGGCTCTGAAAACTGTTGTCGTATAGATCCTAGTCCAAGAACCGTAGCTGACTGGCTATATGTTGGATCCTTTTCAACAACAGTAACTGAAAGCCTTGAATCACGTCGGATCCAAAATGCAGTTGCCCAACCTATGATACCTCCACCGACAATTAACACATCTGTATTTCTCGGAACTTGATCTTCTCTATCTAGGTATACGATAAGGGAGGAAAAGTACATTGACATACGTAAAATTTGTGAAGTAGACCATTTTAAAGGAAGCCTCGTGTGTGCACTTCTTTTTAAACTTTCGACAAGACCAGAAGATAGAGCACCGTTTAGTCGATTTAATCCAAACTTTAACATCTGTGACTGTCCTAGAAACTTCCAGAAAAGAATAGGTTAGTTGAGTTTGTAATGGGAAAACAAATATTTATCGTAAATAAGGATAGAACAATAGCATAATGTGTCTGGAATGGTATTGATACTCTTATGGGTTTAGGTTTATCATGAATTCCATTTCCTTAGCAGATAATTTTGACAGTGTGACTGTTATTGAAACATACAACTGAATAAAGGTATCTTAGTATCAAGAGACATTACAAGCACAAGTTTGAGAAGGCTAAAGATTTATGCAATATTTTTGACCCTAACTACGCATAGAACTATTTAAGTGAATTTTAATGCATCTAGGATTGTTTGTAATATAAAGTAAACTCTTTAATGTTGAAATGATTAACAGGAAGCGTTAACTTAAATAGATAGATAAATTGTGAGATTATTGGTAAGAAAGAAAAATGATGCTAGACGTCGAAATTTGAAACCCACCAGGTTATATAGAGTTCGCTCTGCATGAGCTCCTGTTAGGCATTGAAATATTAGTGAAACCAACATTTTAATCAAAATGGTTCATCTGTGATTGTCACGAGATGACTTTTGTCCCTTCTTACAGACTAGAACTATCAGTAATCGAAACCAATCAGATTGAATCACATCTTGTTTCGAGATTTTAGCTAAAAAAACTCAGTTGATGTAAATGCTCACGATTTCATCTATCAGACCCTGCTGCTCCCCCTCGTTTGCCTACAGCTTTTCCAAATGACTAACATTCGGAGGAATTACAGCGACCCGCTACTATGATTGCCTGTATTTGGTGGGTAGTTGTGTTGCTGAAGGATAGTTGGACTATCACCTAGTGTTCTGCCCATCTGTCCAATATCCTGCATTAAGTGAATGATAGTTATACCTTTGTCTAAGACAATCACTGAGAGATAAACTTCTGATACCGTCTCCTTGATAAGTCTGAACAGTTTTCTAATGTTATATATACACACTACCATTTTCATCCCTTAGTTTTGCTAACCATCGATGCGTTGACTTAATCACTCTGTGTTTTAAATGATTTCGCTTATCATAGTGTTCAGAGGCAGACGGGATGAACTTCCTATTACCTATCGATTCAGTAGATGCCGCTGAAATACACTTATGTTTCTTAACCAATTGGTTTAAATTGCTGGTAGAGTTTACTGCTGCTTTGCATATCCTTCTAAGCGCCCGACCGAAGCTGCTACCTTGACGTGGTGGTCGGGCTTGCCTATCGTGATGACCCAACTGAGCTATATTGGCTGGAACTTATGTTCCTGAAGGTTCTACCATGCCAGGCAGGTCGATTGGAGAACGATGAGACTAAAAGCAGCTACCCAAGGTCTCAGGGCGAAGTCGTACTGCTGACTGCAGAGGGGTGTGACAACAGTAAGGTGTTCCCCTTGGATAACCAGCATCTGCAGCGATGCTGCCTTCTCACAAGGAAGGAAGGGTTAGAAAAGGTCGACCCTAATATGTCACACCACGGATTTCTGTCTTCGGCGGTAAGGGGTGCCCACTAAGGGCTTTCAAGAGCGGAGCTAATACTCAAAAAACCTTTCACAAAAAGGCCGTGCGTGACCGGCCTCAAGCAGTTGTCCCTTGGGCTCTGTGGTCACGCACCTAGATCTCCAAGACCAACACTAATCTATTTTCCTTTTCAGGTTCCTGAAGAAACACCTTTCCACGGGGTGGGCAGCCGGGAAGTGACAACCGCCCTCATACCCGTACCAGAACACGAGACCGAATTGGTCAAAATAAAATCTTTCCTACAACCCCTAGTACCACTCTTATCTCCACGACTAACTCTTCTCACATTCCTTTATCACACTGCACAGCTAATGCAAACGATGCGGGTTCACGGAACTTCATTTCTGGTCTCCTGAAACCCCACTCTAGACTACATGTTGGAGCTTTTAATGTACGGACATAATGTCAAATAGGGCAACAGGCTTCCTTAACTAGGACATTAGAATCTCGTGTCAGAAAACTTTCGGACCTCCTAAAAAAGTTACGCACTCTGATGTAGTAATAATGGCTGCTGACTTTAATGCTTAAGTAGGTAGACTGAGTGAAAATCAAAGACACCTAGGTGGATGTTATGGTGTCGCGGCTCAGAGAACAGACAGTGGCGACCGTCTGTTGCAGTTGTGCTCAGATAACCGCCTATTTCTAGCAAACACTAATTTTAAGCAAAAGGAAAAGCATCTTTTGACCTGGCGACCTCCAAAGTCGTCCCAACGTTGGACTCAACTAGATCATATCGCCATCAGCCACCGATGGAGAGGTTCGATAGAGGACTGTCTCTCGTTCTGGGGCACATGTGTGGATTCAGATCATGCCCTAGTGCGAGCTCGTATTTGTTTGAGGCTTACTGGACGTAGGAAAGACACCGTATGGAAGCCTCTTAGGGCTTTACTTAATGATAATCAAGCTCAGAAAATATTTCATGGTTAACTAGAAAAAGTTAGGCGACCATGTAAGTGATTCTCATCCGGAGGCAGGTTGGAATGATATACGAAAGGCTGTGGAAACAGCAGTGATATCTGCTAGTAAGGTAAACCATAAGGCTAGGACGGAGCTGTGGATCTCTGTAGCATCTACCGAACTGATGGATGCTCGAAAACTCATCCCACCTGGCTCTGAACATGATGAAGAACGTAGTCAGCTTAAGCACAGGCTGATAAAAAACCTACGTAACGATCGCGAACAGTGGTGGGTGGCGAAAGCAAAAGCGATGGAAAAGGCAGCGGCGATAGGCAACACTAGACAACTTTTCCGCCTTATCAAGAAAACCGGTATTAGGAACCCAAATGTGAATGAGACTATTTCGGAAAAGGATGGTCTCATTATCCATTCTCAATCCAGGAGACTGGATCGATGGGAAGAACACTTTATAGATCAGTTCAACTGGCCTCGAGCCACTCTTCGGTTACCCACGACCTCCAGTCATTCTGAATGGCAAGTCGACGTCAGCCCTCCGAACCGTTATGAAGTTGTAAAGGCTATAGGAAATCTAAAGCGAGGGCGAGCTGCAGGTCCTGATAGGCTTACCCCTGAGATGTTTAAGGATGGTGGTCCAGCTTTAGCAGAAATCCATGAAGTCACTCACAAGTGGACTGAGTCATGTTGGTAGATGTAAGCTACCTGGTTGGGGTCCGCGAGACGAAAGTCATCGATGGTTAGAGACCTTGAATGGCATGGCTCAGAATCGTTTGCAATGACGCAGGTGCATCCACTCTTTGTGTTCTATGAAATTCTAAGCTTCTGCATTCCTCATAATCTCTACCTTTCTCCTTCTATATTTATCTTACTGAATTATACTTCTCGAATCACATGTTCGAACCCTAATCTTCTCCATTACTGCTAATACTTCTATTATTGCTATCACTCTTGGATTTGAACTGACAGTTGCGTCTCTGTGCTGATTGGGCATGGCAACTTGAACTGATGTACTTACGTACGAAGTTCTGCGTTGTATCTGTCTCTCCTTCTGAGCTTGCTTACATGGTTGACTAACTATCTTCCAAGTTGTTCATTAAGTGTAGTCTAAACATTTTGATCAAGTTGAACCGTAAAGTGTTTTCTCACTCTGACGTTTTACGTTCAGTAAGCCGCAGACAAATACGTGCTTGTGCTAGAGCATGATCTGATTCTAAACAAGTGCTACAGAATGTATGTTAGTCTTCTATCGAGTCTCGTAGACGATGGCTGATAAGAAAGTGATAGATTTGAGTCAAGCGTCTAGCCGATTGTGTTGGTCGCCATGTCAAAAGATGTTTTTTCTTGTGCTTGCTAGAAGTAGACGGTTATCTGAGCACAGTTGCAACAGATGGTCGCTACTATGTTTGCTGAGCGGCGACGCCGCCGTAATATCTACCAGCATTCTTCACCTAATCTACCTGCTTGGCAGGTGCTCGTGAGCACGAATACAGATGCCCGGAACATCTGAATAAGGAAGTTTTAATTGTGAGAAAAAGTCTGTAAATGAACCAGGAATCTAGAGGTGATCGACTCAGCGAAATGCTGATGCTAAAGTTGCACAGAGTAAATAAAATCTCATGCAGGTAAATTACTATTCATGTAACTTTAAGATCGGAAGATAAATTCCTTGGACTAGCCACCTCTTATCTTATATATCTGTGTAACTGTTCCTCCGGAGCAAGTTACATTGTCAGATGTTTCGTGAATTTTTATTTTGCTACTCACAAGTGCCTTCCAATGTGTTCAATAAAAGGTTAATTTAAAAATGTTAACGGCTTGATTCTAGCTCATTTAATGCCAAGTGAACACGGAGAAATCATTTAGGATAATGTATCGCATTAACAACCACCTACCTAAATACGCCACGCTATGAATCATTATGACAGCTGAAGCAACTGCAATTCGGATCAAAAAGCTGATCCAAAACGATTGTGTCTAACTGCTCATTTAAACTTGACCTAATTAGCTTACTATCATTCTGATTATGTAGTGACATTATTCGATTTGTATTCACGCAATCTTCTTTTTTGTATTATTACAGCCTAACATCTTATTGTGATTAATAATGTAACGTTTGCGCATGTATTGAGATGCTTATTCAAGTTCATACTTGTTTAATAATCCATAGTGTTCTACGTAACGTTTAATTCCTGATTTGTAATTGTATTATGATCTATCTCACCCATTTCACTAGATTCTACTTCTCGAATAACATCTTCGAACCCTAATCTCTCCGATTACTTCTAATACTTTTACTACCTTTAATACTATGAGATTTAAATTGAAAATTATATCTCTGTGCCAATGTGGTATGGCAACTTGAATTGATGTACTTATGTACGAAGTTCTATGTTGTAAGTTACTGGCTGACTATCTCACCTCATTTCGGTTCCGACCAATATTCTCACAATTTTGTTTAACGTACAATCTTATTCATATTAACACCTCATTATAGTTATTTCAACACTACTTTTATTTTTTTTCAAAGAATGCCAAATTCACAACATTTAATTTTAAGCAACGCACACTGCTCTGGACGTGGCCAATTTCATTCCCACGGTTTTGGATGAATAATTGATGGAAAGAATATTTTCCGTCCACACATCTGCGTCTTAATATGATTAAAACTTTTTGGGGATTAAAACTCTATGTCTGGAGAGCTATATACTGATTTGTTGTCGAATTACTGCACGTCAGACTATTACGTTGCCTGACTGAACTAAACATTGATTTTGAGTAGGTTTCCATAGCTATCTACATATAGGACAAAACCAACATGAATAGTAGATATACTTACAACCCAGGACTTTAACCAAACCTGAGCATTTGATTTGTAAAGTAGGGGAAAGTAATTTGCACGAGAAAAAGCAGCACGAAGGAACCAGAGAAAAATGAGGCTGCAGAGTCAGTAAACTTTGAATAGAACAAGTAGGTGAATATAAACCGGGAATAACGGTTTTAGACTCATGCTGGAATTTATCTCTTCACTTTAAGGTTCATACATGCTTTTATTCAATATATGCAGCATGCATACATGTATGAGCAACATAATAATGTTTACAAACACCGACTTCTGCAGAAACAGTCAACAAAGATGCTATTAAGAGGAAAGAAGTTATTTACTGAATGAAAAGAATGGGTAATCCAGGATTTCATGAACATACTACACAAAACTAAACAAACTAATCGCCTTCCCTAAGTAAATATTACATTACCGTTGAAACACCGCTTGTCCGATATCCAATATCCTTTTCATGAGCTAGTGTGTTAGATTCCTAATCTTCCGGTATGGTTCCAGATATTTTGTAATGTTCAATGGATGGTAGTCTAGCCACTCAACTGAACTAAATCTACACGGTAAGCAGTTGGTTGTGAATTTGTTCGTCCAGCGATTTTAATTAATGCGTTTTTTTTCTGAGGGAAGTAGGGTTTCTGAGGAGAAGCAGGCATTACGTTACCAGGCTGGAGAATAATTGCGTGAAAATTCTAGTCCTAATGAGAAGATGAAAGTTTTAGAACTATTTAATTGATGAAATAAGTTATTTATCCGGTAGTAGAGATTGTATTACCTGACAGAGGTGTAAGTAAAGAATAGGAAACAAAGGTCAGAAGCTAAACAGAACAGCTAGTAATCTAAGGAAACGACAGTGATAAAAACTTACGACGTTCGAGACGTTTTTCAGGCACAACTGGTCCATGTGAGGGATTATAAGTAATGAGGGAGTACTTGTTTATTAAGTCTCCTCTTGAAGTTATCTACTGAGGGGGCTGCAGTCAATTCGACTAGGAGAGTATTGCAAGTTTTGACGACTCTTATTGAGAAAAAGTTAAGTCGTGCCTAGGTGTTCTCAATTTAATGTGCAATTGTTCAAGGGTTACCATGAGAGGCGCGGTTGTGATGCTTTGGCAAGATACTTGAGTTGGGATGATGTGGAGTACATAATATGTTATATACCACTAATAGATCACCTTTGATCCTCCTATAACTCAGCGGGAATGATCTCACGAATGGGAATCTGTCTTCGTAAGGTTTATTCTTCAACCATGATACC